GAAGGCAACGTTTGAACCGCGGGGGGGTGGGTCCGGAGTCCGGACGCTGCGATCTGACCCTGGGCCGGAGACTTCTCGCGCCAAACAAACCACGAGCTCGGGCTCCGCCACCGAAATGGCGTCCCACGGTGAGCCGAGCCTTGCCCTCGCCAACTCTACCCTCCGAAGCTGGAGTGACAGGCCCGCGCTACCAGACCCGGCGACCGAGTCGGGGATGTGGCCGGATTTATCGCGCGCGCATTCCGCGCGAAATGGCGAGGTGGGACTAAAGAGTCGCCGATCGATCCGCTACCTGAGGAAGGAAGAAACAAGCACACACAGGGTCCCGTCCCCGTCGTCGTCCTAGTCCACCGGCGGCGGTGCACGGCGGAAGCGCCGCCGCTTCTGTTGCCCGGTCCGCCGCTTCGTGGCCTTTGGATACTTGGGAGGGAGTTGGAACGGATATGATCGTACAGCACACGATATACGAACCCGTGTACGTACGAATCCGAAATAGTACTACATATCTACATCGTTATTAAGAGAACAACGTTTGATACCGCGAGGTGCGCTTATTAAGATCAAGTCGTTCTCCAAGTGGCAGTTGAGTCATGGATGTTATTCATCCAGTAACAGATTGTAATCAGCTAAAAAAAAGTGACAATCTGATTACAATTCTTCCTCGATCAATCTAGGAACGCGGAGTCGTATGGAACAATAGCCCGGCGAAATTTTGTTTTCGTAGTTGGATCAATTGACAGTTTGACACATATTACTCTAGAACATTGCTTTTCTCTAGTGATGCAAACTTTGGTTGAAAAAAGCCATGAAATCGGGGAAAAAATTCTTTGCGACAGTGCCGCACGACGCTTCTAGTGCAACACCGTATAAGCTGCCGATGCGTGTCTCGTCTGCTGCAGCCCGACTGCCCGAGGCCTTTCGTTGAGCCCAGCAGACGTCTCCCACAACACCGCATAGATCAACCGCAGCATACCTTCTACAATTTCTATTTGTGCTAGATCACGAACAGTAATTCCAAACCCAACTGCTATCGATCGATCAACCTCTTGTCGTCCCGGTCCATTCTGGTCCCTGGGAGCACACCACTATAGATGGCTAAAAGGCCCGAGGCCCGACGGCCCGGCCTAGGGCACGGCATTTTTGCCCAGCCCAAGCACGGCATGGCCCGACGGCCCGTGCTAGCCTGGCCCGACCACTCGGCCGTGCTTGGGCCCCTCCACCGGCACGCCCGATGGGAAAATAGACTTATTTAAAAAAAGGCACGATGGGCCATCCATACCTTTGGGCCGGACCGGCACGGCCTGACTACTTGTGGGTCGTGCCTAGGTAGGAGGCGCAGCCCACGGGCCGTGCCGGCCCGATGGCTGGTGGGCCGTGCCTAGCCGTGCCGGACGGGCCTTTTAGCCATCTATACACACCACCATGTTTGAGTCTATCCCCGACGAGAACACCGACGGCGGGCGTAGAGGAGGGCGGCGGGGCCCCATAAATTCCGCTGTATGGATGTGTGGGTAGGGCGCCATTTGGATGGTGAAGGGCGGAGCCGCGTAGCAGCCGCCGGATTAAATCTTGAAACGGTGGAGAGAATAGTTGGAGCTAATTAAGCGCGTGGGGAGGCGGTGGATCTCATGATGGAGAGCAGCGATAGAACTCACCAACGATGGTAGGCACGCGACGGGAAGAGGGTGCCTCGAACCTCGATTAATTCCTAGGCAGACTAGCTTGGCCGATAGCTGTGGCTTGGTCTACGTGGTGTTACGGGATAGGTCAGCTCGGCTTGGGATGCAGCAGACGGGACTCGCGTAGCCGGTCTAGACTGTGCCGCACGGGATCGTGTGGCACTGCCGCAAAGAATTTTGATTGTATTTCTCTCGCACGGGAGGAATTAAGCTTTATTCAGCTCACAAGCTGTGGAGATCAATAGATCATCTACCGGTCCAAAGTTTCTGATCCGAATGACAATTGGGAGAATACTGGCATGTTTTTGAGTCCTCAACTTCCACAGTTTAGTTAGGTTAGGTACTGATGTCTGATGGCGCCTTAACAAGAGTGCTGAATTAATAAAAGCATATTTTCAAGGTAATCAATGCCTCTGTCTTGTACTATGACGCTATTTGCGTACATATAACGTTTAATCATTGTAGACATGGGTATTTTTCGTTTGTTCAGGTATCCACCACGTGAGAATAGCATGGGACATGGGTATTTTTCTTTTTTTTTTTTGAGAATGACATGGGTATTTTTCGTTTGTTCAGGTGAATAGCATGGGTATTTTTCGTTTGTTCAGGTATCCACCATTTGAGAATAGCATTTACTCATAAGATGGTATTTGAATAATAGGATTTACTCATAAGATGGTATTTGAATAATAGGATGGCATAATCATTTTGGACTTAAATTCAGCGAAAAAGAGTTGGCGAGAGGGAATTTTATATTTGTTTGTCAAAGCGCGCGAATCCTCGAGGAACAAACACCGGACATGGGCTCAACCGAAGGATTCCTCCGGCCATTGGTTGGGAAGCCCGCCCGCATGGGCAGGAGGGCAGTAACGGTAAACGAGGGCACGCGCGCATGGCGACACACCCCCCTCGCCGCTCACTACCCTACCCACCACCACCACAGGCGCGGCCCCCCTCCCTGTTGGGTCAGTGGTGATGGCCAAGGCAAACCTCCGGTGAAATCGAGGGTCACAGCCCGAATCGACCGAGATAGATCGACAGGGCTTCGCCACGATAACCAGAGGCGCCCGTGGTGTTTATCTGTACCCCGGGGGCCAGGAGATCTCAAGCGACGCTGAGCCAAACTTATACATATCCTCCCTCGCCAACTCTACCCTCCAAAGCCGGAGCTACAGGCCTGCGCTACTAGGCCCGGCGATCGAGCCGGGGATGGAGTCGGATTTATCGCCCGCGATCTGCGCACGAAATGGCGAGGTGGGACAAAAAATGGTAGTCCGCTGGGTAATTCTATTGAGGGCGTGACTCGTGAGCCTGGCGGCTCCGTTGAGGCGTTGATGGACCGCCGCCGCTGCTTAGTTCCGCCGGCAGTGATGCACTCGGTTTGACCGGAGGAAGCCCTGGTTCGAGCTCTGCTCTGCTCTGTGTTAACCATTTGAAAAATTGTTATCTGTGAGTAAGTTTCACCTTGGGTGCTAATGTCGCATAAAGTTGTGAACTCGTGAGTAAGTTTAAGTTTGAACATCAATTTCACTGCATTTCAAGAATAGTTTTGCAAGAGGTTGGTCACAACACGTTTCACCTGTGTCAATTTTCACTTCACCTTCACTGTCTGTGGAAAGTTACACCTGGTCTCCTAAAATTTTTTAGTTCTCTGCTGACAGCAAATTCATTCCTTACTGTACAAAAAAGAGTTGGCGAGAGGGGTTTTGATTGAAAGCGCGCGAGAGAGAGCCCAGGGGCTCCCCGAACCCCGAGCCCGCTAGGGTTGGGGGAAATCCCCGGCGTGTTAGCGCATTTTAGTTAGTGGGCTTCGCCGGAGGCAGGAAAACTCTCTCAGAGATATCCTCACACCGGTTCACTGGATTCGATTAACAGTGATTAGTCGCGGGGGCCAGAAGAAGCAGGCGGTAACCAACAACACACAGGGCCGGCTGGCATGGTTCTCTGACCCCGGGGGGCTCTCAACAAGGCGCGCGCCAAACAACAAACCCGATCGAGCTCGGCTCCGCCGCCGATCAAAGTGGCGTCACGCGCGAGCCGAGCCTTACCCTCGCCAACTCTACCCTCCGAAGCTGGAGTGACAGGCCCGCGCTACCAGGCCCGGCGACCGAGCCGGGGATGGCGCCGGATTTATCGGCCGCGCATTCCGCGTGAAATGGCGAGGTGGGACTAAAGCGTCGGTCGATCCGCTAGCTGTAGCTGATGACGAAGAAATTAAACACAGGAGGGTCTTCGTCGTCGGCGTCGATCGGGACCGCTGGCCGGCGAGTGGCCTGGGCCGGGGCCTGCCCTCCGTCGATGGACGGAGTCCGCGCCGCCGCCGCCGCCTGACGAGCTCAGGCTCAGCCAGCCGCCGGTGGACGGACGGCGATCGAAACGCCGCTGCTTCTGTTGCCAGGTCCGCCGTTCGATCTCGAGCTAAACTTTGCTCTGTTCTTGGGCCTAGTTCGGGCTACACATGGGGATGGAGAGACGATCGTGCCCGCTCGCGTCGTATACGGGCCGGACCGTGCACGTTTCGGAAGCAGTAATATACTTAACATAGTAGGACGACGTTTGCCAAGCCATATTGGAGTTCGTTTGTGGTGCTTCCTAAACGGAGTGTTTTTTTTAAAAAAAAAGAAATTCTACATGAAAATTGTTTTAAAAAAGTCATATTAATCATTTTTAAAATATTTTAACTAATACTTAATTTATCATACGACTAATTTGCTGCTCGTGCATGGGATTAGTTCCTAACCCACACAAAACAACACAGCCATTGTCTCGTTCCAAACTCACAAGTAGACAAAAAAAAACCTGGCTTAAGCTAGTCGGGTGAGTTGTGTTCACTGTTCACTGTTCAGGACTTCAGGGTTCTACTTGTTTTTAAGCCAAAAGAAAAAAAAATCGGGGAACACCGATAGACCTGGAATATCAGGTATTTCGAGAAATCTCAGAAAAAAAAAAGTTGAAAACGGAACACACTTTGGTTAGATTTGAATACTTTTTGCTAAATTGGGAAAAAAAATTGGGCTGGAAAATATGATAAATGCAAAGTTAACTGAAATTGAATAGGCTTTGTTCAGATTCAAAAAATAAAAATAAAAACGGAATTTTCGGGTGAAATAGTATCATTTTGGGGTTTAAAATTTCGTGAATTTCAAAGCTCGCAACATGTGAAGGAAGTCGGCAACCTTGAACTTTTCCTGTAGCAGCTGCATGCGGCGCCGGCGCTGACCATCAGGAAACTTGGCACCAACGAAACCAACTCCTACCCCAAAAACAACAACGCCCCCAAAGGAACTTGGAGAAAACGTAACCGAGTCCAACCCAACAACACAGCTACTACTCGATCCCCAACGTGGTATAAGACGAGCACTGCACCGTCGTCATCTATAGTCGACCCAACACAGCGACACCACCAGCGCCCACCTCCATCGCCGCCGCTCCCCTCGCCTCCCGCGGTTTACGCTCGCGCGCAGGAGTTCTTGGTTGGCTGACTGCGAGTAAGCGAATCATCCGGCAATCATGGCGTCCCGTAAGTCTCTCTCTCCCGGTGATCTCGTATCCTGCTTCTTTTTTTTTTTTTTTGTTCTTGTTGATTTTGCCAATTCGAATCGATCGGTGTATGATTTTTTTTTTCAAAAATCGGTTCTGCATTGCAGGCGTCAGGTTTGAGAATTCCAGCGAGATTGGAGTGTTCGCGAGGCTCACCAACGCCTACTGCGTGCTCCCCGACGGCGGAGCAGAGAACTTCTTCAGGTTTGCGTAGCTGCATTGCATTGGCGCCGTGTGAATCTTGGATTTTTAGCATTGGTTTGAATCCGATATTTGTTATGGTGTAGCGTGTTCGAATCCGAGCTCGCCGACGTCGTGCCGGTGGTCAGGACGTCCATCGGCGGCACGAGGATCATCGGGAGGATGTGCGTCGGCAACAAGAACGGCCTCCTCCTGCCGCATACCACCACAGACCAAGGTATCAACACTACTCAGTACTCACCATGGATGCCTCTGCTTTACTCTGCTTGTCGTCCCGGAATATTTTCTTCAGTCAAATTCAGTTTCAAGTACTCAGATTTTAATCAAACTGAGATAAACAAGAGATCTGATTTCACCACCAGGATTCACTTGTGAATTACTCCAATTTGTAAATAATGGGGACAACGAACTGTTTTTTTAAAAAAAAAAATTAAAAAACAAGAAGTCCTCTTGGTGGCATATCTTCTTTCTGATAAGAAATTGACCTGACATGTTGTTGATGTTTCCAGAGCTCCAGCATCTGAAGAACAGCCTGCCTGATCAGGTGGTCGTCCAGCGCATCGAGGAGCGCCTCTCCGCCCTGGGCAATTGCGTTGCCTGCAACGACCATGTCGCCCTCACACACCCAGACCTGGACCAGGCAAGTCATCTCTTTGGAAAATCTACTCCAAAATCACAGAGTTGAGCATATAGGAGCAATTAGCAAACAATGCCACAGCTTAAGCCCATCTGACCAAACTACATTGCCTGTAAACAGGGAACCGAGGAGATCATCTCAGATGTTCTTGGTGTGGAGGTGTTCAGGCAAACCATTGCAGGAAACATCCTGGTGGGGAGTTTCTGCGCCTTTTCCAATAAAGGGGGCCTTGTAAGTTTCTATCACAATTAAACTAATCAACATCACTAATCACTGGAGTACTAGTTATTAGGCCATGGCACTGGAGCTTGCAGTTCTCTGAAACCTGTGAATGATGCAGGTTCACCCGCAGACGTCGGTGGAGGACCAGGCGGAGCTGTCGACGCTGCTGGAGGTGCCACTGGCCGCCGGGTCCATCAACCGGGGCAGCGAGGTGGTGGCCGCCGGCATGGCGGTGAACGACTGGGCGGCGTTCTGCGGCGCCGACACGACGGCGACGGAGCTGTCCGTGGTGGAGAGCGTGTTCCGGCTGAGGGACGGACGGCCGGGGGCGCTCGGCGCCGACATGAGCAGGTCGCTCGTCGTCAGCAGCTACCTATAGAGAGAGGAGGAGGGACCGGTTTTTGCTTTGGGGGATTTTCGGTCAGAATTCAAGAATGCTTAAAGCCAAAAATATCCCTTGCTGTATCTTGAGTAGTGACAGTAAATGTTCGCGTGGATCGATGCAGTTTTGATCCTGTGTCAAAGATGAATTTTGTATCTTTGCAAATCTGGAACGATGGAAGTGCTTTTTTGAAGTCAAAATATAATTTAGTATTATGCTCAGCTCAGGAAAGAATGTTGTCTTAAACCAGAATATTAAACAAAGTGAAGGTAGCCAACATATGTCAGATCACAGTGCAGCAAAGAGTATTTTCTCTATCAGTAAAGACTTGTTGGTAGAGTACAACACAGTGCAACGCAAACAAACATAAGTTCATAGGGCAAAATCGTTAAGAATGCCTAAAGAAAACATAATGTATCATTAGCTGAAGGACTAGCAAGCACTGGCAAAACTGACATTTGTTTGCTAACAAGTCAAGAGACAGTTGACACGCATAAAATGTGACCAAAGTAACTCTTCATTCGTAGCACGTCAATGAAGCAGACAAAATAAAACTAAGATTAACATTCATAAGATTCCAATCCTACTCGCCTGCTCGGTAAGGCAATAGCCGCAAAAGGTTATCCAAGTGCAAGCAAACACTACTAGTTCATTACATCGCTAAGGCATTATTATCTCATCGTCATATATATTTTGGCAGGACATAAGCAGCACATGTATTGGATGGCCACAAAATAAACCTAACAGAAGAACCTAATCGAGCAATTCAGACATTGCGTTCTTCCTGTTGAACGGATCGGTAGCAGCAAGCAAAGATGCCACAGCCCTATTGGGGAAAATGTCATCAGCCTTCATCCTCTCCTTGAATCCATAAGGTGGGGTCTTTGCATTCAGATATGCCTCAAGAAGCAGCTGATACTGTCTAATCCTCCCAGTATAACCCATCTGCCGCACCTTGCTGAACAATTTCTCTGCATTATGGACGTCTCCTTTCTTGGAATAACTATCAAGCAGCATCAAGTATGTGGTGTACAAAGGCTTAATCTTGTTCTTATATGATAGCTTATGCAATATGGAATCAGCTTTCTCCACCTCTCCTGCATCCGAATAGAGCTTCACAAGTGAATCCAATGTTGAGGGCCCTAGTCTGCAACCATCATCACCCATCCGCTTTGCTAGCTCTTTCCCCTTGTCAAAAAGCTTTTTGTTGGCATACACCTTCAGCATAGCATTGTAGTATTCGAACGAGAGTGTCTTCCATGTCTTGAACATATTCTCAAATATCTCCTCGGCCTTTTCAACATCTCCAAGCTTACCAAAAGCCTCTATAGCAGACATGCACTCATCTAGACGAGCATTGACCTCACAAACCTTCCAGATCCTTTCCACATCAGCTTTTTTGCCAAGAAAAGCATACAGGGGTAAAACAAATTTGCAAGCAGAACGGTTTTCATTGATATCATCCCCCTCTATTTGCTCCAAAATTGCCTCAGCTTTCTCACGATAACCACCAAATATGTAGTGCCTTGCAATTGTGGCTTGAATCAGAAGATCTGGTTCAATTCCATCTGCTTGCATTGCCTGAATGACCTTCTCCATATCTTCAATATCTCTAGCAGCACCCTTGGTGTCTACAAGGAGCTTATAAGTGAAGAGGGAAGGCTTCACATTCTCCTTTTCCATCATTGTGAGAACATCACCAAGCTTCTTCTTGTCCACTCTCTTGTAGAGTAGCAGAAGCTGATTGCAAGAAAATACGGTAACTGGAAATCCAAGGTCCTTCATCTTATTGAAGACTTGTTCTGTTTTTTTCACATTGGCTATAGCCACACAGTTAGCCAAAAGAGTCCTGTATACAACCTCACCCCTATGAGATGCAGGAACATTCTCAATATACTTTTCAGCTTTGTAAATACCGTGGACTTTAGCTACCAAATCCACACGTGAAGCATAATCACGTTCTCCAAGATCAAATAGTTTGGATTCTTCAACATACTCCAGAAGCTGCAGAAAATGAAGTAAATATCTTCTGAGTTAGAAAACACAAAGACCGAGGTAAATAATTACAGTGAAAGAGCACCTTTCGGTCTCAGGCTAACCTAGATTACAAAGCTTAAGTGTTTTAGATATGAGGTTGTTCACATGAAAAAAGTTTATGTATCAAGTTCCATCAAAGTAAACACCGTGTACAGCTACAAATAATCAAAGAATAGTGAAATTTTGAAAATTGGTAACATGCATCGGTACAAATGCATTCGGAAGGAAGGTGGCTTTGTTATTATCTAAGACAGCTATAGCTGCATGACTAAGATCTATTAGATAGCTACATTGGTCCACTAAGTTACCAATAAGAATTTGTTTTGTACATAAGAGTATAGACAGTTGACACAATTTTGCTAGTAATTTACAAAGAACGGTAGCATTCATTTCATCATGACACGATAGATTGCACATAAAAAGAAACAAGTATGGCTATGCTATTTCAAACATCATGTATAACCAAACATGAGTATTACAACGAAAGATTTAAAAGCACAGATGGCACAATATGTATGTTAAGGGGTAAACATGCTTGGAATGCATAACAGTAAAATAAAATGGTGGTCAATAAAAGCTGCAGCATAAAGAAGAGAGAATCAAAGAAATGGAGTAATACTCAAAACGTGCATGGAATGAACAGAAAAAGACAACGCCCTTTGACAAACAAAACCAACACAAGCACTCTAACAAATTTCAGAGTCTGATACTATAGAAAAGAAGAAGCAGTTTGCACACCATTCACATGATCTGCAAAGTAACAATAACATTCTCATACTAAATTAAGTTTAGGATGTAACATAGAAGTACAGGTGGTGAACTGGTGATATCTCAACAACATTGTATTTTTCAACAGTCAAGGAAATTATGTGTGCTTCTTATATCCCTCTAGCTGTCTAGCATCATTCCCATAGTAAGAGACTAAGAGTACTTCATCACTTCTTCTTTTTTTAATACTCTAGGACTTCAAGAAGAAGCATATAGACATATCATTCTAAAGTGCCCCTACCTCATCTAGTGCATGCTACATTTTACAAGGCTATAGCTCTTCATTTATGTGCAAAACCAAAAGCTCATTCACCATTGACATCGCAAATATGTTTCAGAAAGTAACATTCTTAACACATGCCAAGCTAACGAGCATAACAGCCGCTACATGCATTATCGATAATTATAAATGTGCAGAAAGGACATAACGTTTGCTATCATGGAAAAAACTAAAACATGTAAAGGCCAAGTTAAACACCTGCAAGGCTTTGGTGTAGAGCTTCCGCTTCCGAAGACTAAGAAGGACATAAAAGAGTTCACTTCTTTCCAATGTATTGCCATCATTAAGCCATTTTTTCGTTGCTCCAGCGACATCAACCCTTGGAGATACCAGCAAAGCCTTAAGAAGAGTGGATTGTGACTTCTTTATCGGCTCCTCAGGTTTTGCATCAGCCTCCACTTGAGACAAGCCAATTGCATCAATGGTGTCCTCATCAGAACTCTCATCGGATGTCAAATCTAAATCCTTTTTATCAGCTTCTGGTGGAACCTCCAGATCAGAAAACCCTTCCTCCAACTCATCCTGCTTATCACCAGAACTTGCACCGGCCTGAGAAGAGAAAACCCTACTCCACATGAAACGGCCTGATGAGAATGATGATTGGCAGACCAATGGTTTTGGTTGATGACAGCAATCCAATTTCTGACAGTCCCGCTCATGATGCTCTTCTACATTCTTTGCATCTGCATTTAGAATTACTTCAAGGTTTGCACAACCACGGGCACTCAAAGCTTGGTAGGCACGGACCCTAAAGCAGCAGCAAACAGTTAGCCAAGCCAAATATCAGTATTAACAATGCATGAAACATGGGATGATAGGTACAAGTTATGATCCTGGACATGGATTCACATGCAAACGAAATACAAAATATCTGCTTCATTTCACAATAACATGACCAGATGATTGAAACAAGCAGAGGTGTTGTTCCATCTTCCAACATATCTACTATCGTTCGTACATAATGTTACACAAAGTAATAATCATGTCTACATAGACAAACATCTAAGATCGGTTACTTCTTCAAGCACATCTACACACAGTAGATACACAGTCATGTCTCTCACATACATCCAACTGATATATTTCAGTCAAACCCAAGATGATAAGACTGCAATTTGCATAGAAATTCAATAGATTACAACAAAACAGAGTCCCAACCTCAGGTGGATAATACAAACAACTCCCTACTCCCCAACTGAAAAAATAATAAATCACTAGCAATGATCAACTTTCTCCCCAAGCAACGCCTATGGCCATTAATTACAAGAAACCGTGTCCTGTTAACGGGGGACGCCACACATTTTGGCACCGAGGAAATCACACAAATAAACCCCCCAAGAACTAACTAAACAAGGCATGGATGGATCTACTTGTCGCCACCACGCCCCCAACAGGGACAGAAAATAAGAGTGGGAGAAAGGCACGGATAAAGAACAAGATAAGCCACAGATTTATTATATCATCAATCATCTGTCAACGAAATCCCACATGAACAGCGGCAGAGGGGGGGGGGAGAGACAGGGGAGGCGCGGGCGGCGGTACCTGAGGGGGTTGCCCGCGCGGCGGAGCGCCCACATGGCGGCGGCGGAGGAGACGGCGGGGTCGTGGCGATGGAGGGATTCCGCGATGGAGAGGGGAAGAGAGAGAGAGAGAGGGGCAGAGGCGGCTAAAACCCCAGGGGGAGGGGGAGGCGGCTAAAACCCCAGGCGGCGACGCGAATGGAGGGGCGCGGCGGGTGAGGTGAGGTGGTGGTTTCCTGTTCCGGGCTTTGTGGGTTGTGGCTGGCCTGGGCCTTTTAGATATTTCTTTTTTTTCTTCTTCCGTGACGGTGGCTGCGGTTACGCGGGGAAGTGCACACAAGGAATTAATGGTAATATATTGCGCGGCGACTGGCGTGTTAAAAAGTTGGGTTTTAGGGCATTCTCTAAAGGGGGAATAATCATTTTTCTGAAGATTTATCTCTTCAAGTTGGTCTCTCTCTTTTTTTTTTTGATAAAGGAAGTAGTTTTATCATTTGCATTGTTTTTTTTAAGGATTTGTACAGCTTAGAGAAATTGGACATTCTGCCACTGCCAAGAGTGGGCTTCGCCACAAATGGCATCGGTAAAATGCCACTTCCAACCGATGACAAACCGTTGCTTTGCCA